TTGTGTTAGCCTACTGCTTACTTTTTTCACCTAATAATCAAATTGCTTACTACTAACATTCTTACCTCTTACCTCCCTGGGGGTCATTATTTCTAGGTTGAAAAGCCCTGCCCTGTGGGATTTATTGGGAATCCTTTTTTTTAAAAAATTGATGCTTTTTTTGTGTTACTGCTAGCTAGCCTTTTTTCTCAGCTCTTGGCATTTTTTGGGAATTCCGTTATTCAAAAATTGATGCTTTTTTTGGTGGTTTGCATTTACTCAAGAACACACTTTTAAATTGTTTATTGTTCCTGCAATTCCATTAAAACTAAGTGTTAGATGATGTCACTTATCACAAAGAGCCATATGTGATAAAGCATATTAATTTTGCAATTTGTGAAGTTATGAAACACTTATTTTTTCATTTTAAGCAAACTCTTTTGAACAGAATAGACTAATTTTATTTTTCAGATAAATCATGGCGAGCTTTTTGGAAGAAATCAAATCAGCAAAATTGAAGAAATCAGACCATGAAATCAAAGATTATTCCAGTCCCAAATTGGCAGGATTTATATCAAAACAGGAAATTACCGATTATCAAAACACCTGCTTGGATGTGAACACAGAAATGTGGCTGCATTTTCTTCAGGATATTACATTCCCTTCACAATTCTGTGAAGTCAAAATGAAGGAAGCTGAAACATTTATAAAAATTTTTGAGAGATTATTTCGAAATTTAAATCCAGCACAAATTGCAAAAGTGGATTTGTGGTCGAAATTAGAAGTTGAAGAACATGAAATTATTGATAGTCTTTCTCAACGTCTTGATGTCGTTTTAAAAGACGTTATTTCTCGTTCTGCTGAAGGTTTTGCATTTGTTAAAACTTCCAGCCGTAGTCCGAAAGATGCGCCGATGGCTATGAAAAGGTTTGGAGAAGTGTATAAAATGTTTTTGAATAAATTACCTGAGGAAAAGCGACAGAATGAAAATGATCAGATAGTTGCTTTACTTCAAGCAGCGTTTGAAGCGATGAAGGTTTCGACGTCAAAGGAAGTGATGCAATTCATGTTGTCGAGCGAAAGAATTTATCAAGATCTACTTTTAGCGTTAGAAATTAAAGAGCGTTACCACGAAAATTTTGTGGTGCGTGAATTTGTGCATATTGATGTAGACATGGAATTTCGGGCGTATGTTTTTGATTCTGAAATGACAGCGATATCGCAGTACAACTACCTCATATTT